ATTCTATTATTTAACACAGACTGTGTACATGTATTATAATGACTCTCAGAGCTGGCCACTCACCACCAAATGTTTTAGTAATTAGCAAAATTTTCAAAAATTGTGATCTGGTTGAAAAAATCGTAATATGGCCATGAACGGCCTTTTCCCCTGTTGTATCAAGTACAGGGGTTATAGATTAAAGGATGAATGTAACGTAAATAAAGGCATGACAGAAATGGTCTCGGGAAAGGGGGGGGGGGTTCGTCTTTGTCGAGTAAAGGTGGGCAAAAGGAGGCGGGGGTACTTATTGGCTATGGGTTTGAATTTTCGTAAAAGCAGAAGAAACAGACGAACAACAGAACACGCCATATTACGCTTTTGATCCTGATTGTGTAACACAGAATTGTGGAACAGAACCACCAAGGCAGTGGGGCAGCAAGAATGTCTACTGACCACAGTGAAGAGACGAAAATTAAAATGGTATGGGCATGTCACAAGATCCACTGGACTTGCCAAAACAATCCTACAAGGAACCGTACAAGGAAAGAGACAGGGAGGAAGGCAGAGAAGGAGATTGGAGGACAACATTACAGAGTGGACAGGAAAGACGATGGGAGACAATCTGAGGAAAGCAGAGGACAAAGATAAATGGCGAGAGCTGGTTTTCAGATGCAGTGGTCCCCGCACGGTTGCCCCAACCACGGGATAGAAGAAGAAGAAGAAGAAGTGTAACACAGTAGTATAACAATACGCCATACCGCACATGGCAGTTACTACATGTAGTTCTAAATTTGAAACAACGATTCGTTGTATGTTTATTTATTTTTACAATCTCTCACTAGCATGGTCCGTCTCTCATAACACAGAAGCAGGAAATCTTAAACGCCTTGTTAAACTAATTAGGTTTCCCTTAAGACCTGACTCTGGCGTTGGCGCAATTACTGTTTCTCCAAAGGGCAAAGTGGCACTGAGCATCTGCAAGGGCTCTGTGCACAGAGGACGTTTGCGTTAACCCTATCCGTACGCCCAGGGGTCATTTTGAACCCCTGGGGTTGTATTCTTCACATTTAAGAATGCTTTTAGTACGAAGATCTCTCAGTATTTCAGTATTTCTCATGTGCTATGCAAAGCGTAGGGATTGGATTAACGAGTAAATTTCCTCTTTGGAAAGTGGTGGCAGTTAGTTCACCACGTCGTATGGATACGATAGTAAAACACGACGTACGGATAGGGTTAAACAAAATTACTGTACACGTTGTATGGCGTAGAGTGTCGGGGCCGGATTGTTTCTATTAATCAAAATCCAAGAGGGTTGGATCACTGACTTGAGGTAGCCGAAAGGCACATAAATTTTGAAAAATCGGAATCAAGGGTGCTACGTTCAAATTAAAATTTTCTTGAAATTGAGAAAAAGGCGATGGTTATGTATTATGTTGATATTTAATTGTAGAAACATCCACGTTGCTGTTACATTCAGCTTTTATTTATTTATTTTAATGGGAACTGAAAAAAATGTCAGTGCTATTCAAAAGCATTGATCAAAATAAGCTGGCGTAAATAATAAACTAGTGGAGTACAAAAATAATGAAAAGAGAGGACGAAACATTACAAAATAATGCAGAAACAGAAAGGTTGAAAAAGTATCAAATGTTATAATATATGTGTGTCTAAATATTTTTTGTAACATGTTGTACTTCACCAACAGTAAGAAATGTCCTAGCAATTGGGGGAACATACTAAAAATTAAAGTCGTTTTTCTCCAAACTTTGTTTTTACCTCCTGCGTTACAAAAAATGGCATATTTTAAAACTACTCAAGATGTTTGAAAAATTGAACATCAGCGTGTATAGCATTGAATTTCTGACAAGAGTATGCCCCTATTTTAATATCCAAAATTTCCGACAACTGGGACCTTTCTCGAGGCACACACTCACACACACACACACACACACACACACACACACACACACACACACACACACACACACACACACACACACTCACACACACAAATTAAAATGCTTCGTCCGAGATGGCCATGGTCTAGTTCATCAGTCTGGCTGTGTGTCTGTTGGTGTGTGTCATCTCCCATTTCTTCATGAACATCCCAACAATCGTCGTGTCGAACTCATCGTCAACCTCTTTAGTCTGGAAAAGGAAAATCGGGCGCGTAATGCAATAGAAATGGTATAAGACGGCCGCCCATTGTGAGGAGAAAAGTACATTAATTTTAGTTGTCATAGACCAATAGGTGTCTTACACAGTTTCATTCTAATATAAAAGAAGTATGCAGGAGAGGTGAAAAGGAGAAAGTGGCTGTTGTACAAAGAATTACTTATTTTGATAACTTTAAAAGACGGATTACGGGGGGAAAGACTTTAATAATCTTGGGGGATTGGGGGGGGGGGGGGTTCTAGGCATCTAATCAGAGAAATGCGAGGCCAACCATGATTGTCAATGTCTGTTTCGGGTCAGGCATTGAATAGAAAGCACAAAGTGTTTTCAATACGACATTAAAACTAAAAATGAGTTGGAATTCTACTAGAGCAATCGAAAAGCAATAGTGTTTTATACACCAATAGGCTTGCGAGTCGAAAGTAAAGAATCAAGCAAATTCGAAGTTCAAAAAAGGTCTTCAACGCTAAACCTAGAAGCTACATCGCTATCTCTCATCAAAACTAGTCGGCATTTTCGCCCAAAATGAAAGAAAAGGGAGGAGTATGTTGAATGTTCCTAGGCCCTGCATTTTTTTTTAAATAGTCAGAGAAAAGAAAGAAAATCAGTGCTTTCAAACTCTTCCTAAATTGACAACCAAACCATAATCTAAGAATGAACATCGACATTTATAATGTTTTCTTTCTTAAGCTAAATAGATACACATCAACACAATCATAGATAGCCATGCAGTCCCATAAACATTCACATAACCTTATGCAGTTGCGAGCGCCGTAAAACCTCTACTGAAAAAAATTCTTGGAAGGGGGCATGATATCTAAAGTCAAAGGGAATAATATAAAGCAAAACTTTACAGCTATGTATTTGAATACTGTAAGTTGTAGAATCTACAAAGTGTCAACCAATTCACACAAAACATAAATCAGGTTTTAAAAACAATTCTGTAGAATGCGTTCAGTCCATTATTCATGGGGACAAAAAGCCATCTACTGCACAAAGTGTAAGTGGGAGAGGGAGTCAGTCAAATGCTTTATTTGTACCACATCCTTAAATTCTTTCTATAGCTAAAGTCTAAAAAACAACCGCCATGGCAGAATGGTGATCGTGTGGTATCTCTCTAGATACATGTTTCGAACTTTTTGCTTACCAGCACAAAATATGAATATAACCATCTTCAAACGCTAGTCAGAACAGTTACTGAACTCACTTTCAGGCCTTCAGCAACTTTTGCGTGTCGATCAACACTTGTGAAACCATCCCAGTCAACTTCTGTCACAGGGTTTTTCTCAGACCTCATCATCACGCCCTGTTTAATTCCATAATAGCCCACAGGTTTATCTGCTCGCTGCCATCTTAGGTCCAGACTCCAGCGGATGTCATTGGAGAGGTTGTTTAAACTGACACAATAAAAAAGATAGTATTATTTACAAGTATGATATTTACAAGTATGATAGTGGGACAACAAAAGAGGCGCCATCTGACTGGAAGTCAGCACGTTTATGGTCACATTTAGCTAAGAATGGATTGGGAAAATAAGAACGCATAATAAGTAAAGGGTTAACGTGGCATACTGCAATTGAACACTTACTAAAAATTACTGTCAACAGTATAACAGCTTGGGTCAAAGAATATAAAGAACATTAAACTGATGAACGTTTAAGGAATTACTTATTATTATCAGAAGTCAGTAAGTTATACAATGCTATACTGTTTGAATGAGTAATAAAATGTCGGCAACCGAAAGTCTGTTCTCTTTTTTTTTTTAAGGAAAGTTCTGTTCTATAACAGCAAATTTTTCTTTTGAAATATTATTTTACGAGGTAAATTATGTCAATGCACATTTTTTCCTTCGAAATTATAATATGTATATGTTTGCTTTTTTAAGATTCCTGATCGTACCTTCTGTGAGGTATGAGGTTGTTGATGAGCAACATTCCTCCATAGGGCACTTCACACAGCACCTTGTCCTTGGCCACAGTCACCTCTGTGGTTTAACACAAAGGAGGCGGATAATTAAATCTGAGGAGAGAACACTAGCTGTCTTCCATTACAAACAGTGTTGATCGTACTTGCTCTAAGAACATATTCAGAATTAGATAGCACGGGCAGGGAATATTATTGATATGACTAGTCTCCGAAGAACGAGGATGGTGAAGACAAAAAAGAACGACGAACTTGTACCCATGACGAAATCCAAACTTACAATGAAAAACCTACGGCACGATTAGCTCATATGTAACTTGAAAACTGAAACCAAAGGATTTAACCAGGCATTCTGAAGAAATAAAAACTGTCAAAGTTAAAATATTTCGCATTGACGGAATGATGTAATCTATCATTGAAATCGAACTTTAAAATAGTGTGTTGAATGGATATGAAAGTTAAATTTGCAAATAAAACAGGGCACAATGATAAATTATTAGCAAGTGTAACTTTCACCAAGAATGTTACCCATTATATAAACGAGCTTACTGAAACATTTCTGTGGGTATGGTTTGCTCCTTCTTGCCTATCAAACACCTATCGCCCTTATTGCTCCTTCTTTGTTGAGTTTATTACTCTTTGTAACACCTCTAATCTTTGGCGCTTATGATATGACCTAATGGGGTTGCAAGTGCGTAAAACGTTTACAATTTACAGAAAGAAAAAAAAACGAAACCTGTCCGATGTTGCGTTCATTACGGAATGGTTTTTTAAAAAAAACTACACGAACCCAGAGTGTCCTCGATGTCCTTCTCACTGAGCTCCACGTACCAGGTGTTGCCCCAGCAGCAGGTGTGTCTGGCTATCTTGCCCGTCAGGTGACCGCCAGACACAACCTACGGGTCAGAAAAATGCAATAA